ATTCACATTTTCGATTTAATAAGACCAATTAAATTTTCTTTGGTTCACCAAATACATCGAATAATTAATTATAATTTTAATTCAGCAAGTCGGTAACTTGAAGGAGAGGTCCTTCGTACTAGGAGCAAGATAGTGAAGGTCACCTAGAGTAGATATAACTTGAGAGATTTCCCCTCTAATTTCAAACCTTCCCTTTAACAAATTTCACTAAAATAAATATGCTTCTAGTAATTACAGTAAGTTTGATCATTAATTTGAGTTATTGTAACATTTTTAGATACATATTTTGCCTCTCTTTTTTTCCCTAATCTTAATTATGGTATCTGGTAGTTAAGCAGAAAAATGAACAAAACAATAAGACGAAAGATATGATTTTTTTTTAATTAACTAACTAGGTTCAATTTTTAAAAAAAAAAGTGAATTTTTTACTACACTGAACACGATACTTGAGGTGACTCTAGATATCTCTTTGCCCCTTTTACTAGCCATAATTTTGACTTGAGGACTATTGTATACGTAGAATATTCTTTGTCACATCTCTTTCTTTTATTGAAGCATTCTGCATTGGAAATTTCATCGGCAAGTTCTAATAAAAATTTTAAATTATGGATATAACATTTTATAAGAGTTATTAGAATTCCACAAGACAATAAGTATATACTACAACTAGTTTATTACTCTAATTTCTTGACATTCAATCCTAGTTTATGGTTCAATATTTGCGCCCCAAACGACTATTTGGAGGAGAAAATGACTAGATTAGTTTCTTAGAAGATTGGTAATTTACTTGCCTTATACTTCAAGATCTATATATTATTTAGTATTGTCACGTCGACATACAACCGATTATATTTTATGTTATATGTAACAGACTTATCAGGATTATAACAAGGGACAGATAGAGCCAGATGGACGGAAGAAGGTTCAGTCAAATCCTGTTTGTCGAAAATTACACTGTATTTATAAGGTTAATATATATATATTATATATATATATATATATATATATATATATATATATATATAT